GGGAGGTTGTGGAGTCTCCTTCTCTGGAGATATTCAAGACCCGCCTGGACAAGGTCCTGTGCAGCCTGCTGCAGGTGACCCTGCTTCGGCAGGGGAGTTGGACCAGATGACCCACAGAGGTCCCTTCCAACCCCGAACATTCTGTGATTCTGTGATTCTTGAAAACCTCTGCATTCGTACCAGGGGGCTGCTATGAGGTCCCCATGAAGCTGTCTCTTCTTCAGGATGAGTGATTCCTGCTCACTCCGTCTCTCCTCACAAGACAAATGCTCCAGCCCCTGACCATCCTGGTGGCCCTCCACTGAACTTGCTCCAGTTTGACAATGTGCTTCCTGTAGTGGGGGCCAAAACTGGATGTAATACTCTAATGAGTGCTGAGGAGACAGGAAGAACCCCTTCTCAGCCTACTGGTTGTGCTCTTGAACTGCCCAGGATGCTGTTTACCCTGGCTATTGTTGCACAAGCTCATTGCCAGCCAAGACACCCAGGACCTCTTCCACAGCACTGCCCCCCTGCCTGTCTGCTCATTTCTCCCACCACTCCAGGTCCCTCTGGATGGCATTGTAGTGACTATTGTCCCCAGCTAGGTGTCACGTGCAAACCTCACAACAGTGCTCTCTGTCACCTTCTCCATGTTGCTGATAAAGATGCTAAACACAACAGGTCCCAGGAGAGACCCCCGCAGTATTATTCCCATTACTGGCCTCCAGGCAGAGTTCAAGGATGACCCATTAACCACTACCCACTGAGCCCCACTATCCAACCAATTTCTTAACCATCTAGTTGTCCACCCATGTTGGACCATAATATTCCAGTCTGGATACAAGAATATTGTGGGAGACCATATCATCAACCTTGCTGAAGTCAAGGCTCCACTGGCTTCCCCTCCTACGCTGATCTACTCATTTTGTCATGGAAGGCAATCAAGTCGGTCAAGCATCGCTGACCCTTGGCATACCCATACTGCTGTCCGTAGTCATTGTCTTCTCCTCCACGTGCCCAGAAACGTGCTCCGAGAGGACTTCCTCTATGATCTTCGCAAAGACCAAAGCGAGGATGAGTTTGTGGAGGATGGGACCTGTCACTATGGGCTTTTGGCTCATTCATCGTATTCAGCAGGCACACGTCTTCCAGGGAAAGGGTTTCACACCACTTTCCTCTCCCCCATCCTCTTGTATATGTGGGACTCCATAAAGTTGTTTTCTAAATCATGTTTGTAGAAGCAATTAGAAATATTTCAAAGCTTTTGCATCTAACTGCTCCCTCTCCAGCCATAAAGACATACCACGCTTTCTTGAGTCTTGAAGTTATTTTTGCTGTTTCTCCTTGAACCTGTCAAATCCTTCTTGCTTCTGATTATAAATATGTTCATATTAACAGTAGAAACTAGAAGGCGCTAAGAAATTTTAGAAGCACTTCAGTGTTGATCTGCAGGACAGGATGGTTTGTTAAACCTTTCACCAAAATACAGATAAATCAGAGTCAGGGCTGAAAATCTAAACCACTCTTTTCTTGACTGTCATGGTTTAACGAAGGTACCTGGACGTTGTTTCAGACAGCTCAGTGGAGTTTCTCGCTTCATGCGAAGCTGGGATCTAGGACCCGACCAGACAAGTGGGCATATGGACAGCATACATCTGCACACGCAGAATCCAAAGGCACAGCCTCCTTTCTTGCCCCAACCTGCTCCACCCACGACACTTGGCCTCATTTAATGGCAGTCAAAGAAACCGAGGCATTTCAGAGGCAGAGGAGGAGACTGGCAACATGGAAACACCCCGGTGTGTAACTGTTTTCAAAACTAGCAAGAAGAACGTGCAAATAAAGGGGGGGTGGGTGGGGGGGTGGGTTAGAGTGGAGAGAGACTGCTAGGCAGAACCCTTTATCTTTTCTCTTAAAGGCGGAGATGTTGACAGTAGAAGGCAAACCCCACGGAGAACCACCTTCTCCTCCCAACGCATCACCAGTAAGCTTCTCGAGTCGGAGCTCGGTGCGCTCCGTGGGGGAGCGAAACCACCCCGCTTTCGGCCGCGGTCAGCGGCTGGGGGCTTCCCCAAGCTCC